CCCGCCGTGGCGGTGGCGGTGGCCGTGCCTTTCACCCCGAGGTTTGCTGCTGCTTCTCGCCGGACTCCTACTACCTCGCTGCGGCGCCTTCAACCTAGACGTGGACAGTCCTGCGGAGTACTCTGGCCCGGAGGGAAGTTACTTCGGCTTCGCCGTGGATTTCTTCGTGCCCAGCGCGTCCTCGTAAGTGGCCACAGTTGGAAGGAGAGCCGCTCCCTCTGCAGCCGAGCGCACCCTGCGTTTCCCCACCCTGATTGATCTCGGGAACTGGGCGGGGGGGGGGGTTCCCCGCGTCACTCTCCCCCACCCCACCCGCTGAGGTGGCTTCTGCCCTGGGTGGTGAAATGTTTGTGGGGATGAATTCCCGAGGTACTCACCACTGTCTCCCTCGTCCCCCTCATCTTTTTCAATTAGTCAGGGGCAGAGGGAGAACTTTGAAGCAGACCTGTGCCTAAAATTCTGACAAAGTGGGAAATGAACAGAGTTGATCCTGCGGGACTCCTCACCGGCTATGCTGTTGCAGGGAACCCGGTCGATTTCATCTCCGAACTTCTTTTTCTCCTGTACGGGTTAGCCTTCGTAGCAGTCTTTTTTGCTTTACAGCCTTAACGCCCGTCCTTTCCACTCTTCCTAAACTAGCCCTCCCCCACGCTTGCCTTCCGCCTCTAAGAATGACTCTGTTTCTTCTCACTTACTCCTTTTCCAGAAATTCTGATGACCGCCTCGTCTTATTAAATTCATTGTGTCTTATCGCTGGGACTGTCAGACCTTTGCACATTTGAGGTTGAACAGATGAATGTGTCATCTGTTCTTTTTATAGTGATTCACTATTTAGGTCATTGTTCTGAAAGAACAAGGATGTTTGCTGAGTTTTCACTCTCAGCAGGTCGTTTGAACACTGAAGTATTTTATAATTCAGTTACGTTTTTAAATCGCCAACATGCTGAATTGCAAGGACAGCCAGGATTTGTAACAGGGTATTGTCATCATTGGTTTCAGGGTTGTCTCTGATTTTACATTCTCACCACCCCACCCGTCCCCCCCCCCCATATTAGCGTCAGAAATACTGATTTATTTTCTCAGTAAGATAGCTGTTTGTGGGAATGGGAATGGAAGAGAATTCTGATGATTGCTACTTTGTACTGTTATTTTACTAACACATTAACGCCTAATTTTAGGGTGATCTCAATCTTTTTCCATGACTGTTAGAACATTTGACTTGATTTATTTTTCTCAGCGTTTTCCTGCATGTCTCTATCATTCCTTTTGGTAACCTTTGCAGTAATATGTAGGTTGGATGTAGTTAGTGGAAACTATGTAGCAACTGTGTTGTTTTCGGTCTCTGTAAGACCTGCACATAGATTTTTTTTTTCCAAAATGATAAAAATAACCATTAACTTGAGGCACCATTTGCCACCTTCATTTAACTTGATTAATCATTTTAGTAAGCCTTATCTTTTATTTGTCAAATTTTTTGTTCTCACATATTGTTAAGTGTATGCCTTTAGGGTACAGAGTATTTTACTTGATACTGAGGATGCACTTCTAGATTTTGTTTGTACAAAAATTCTAATAATTTTGAAAATAGATGCTTGTCTCTTGTGAAGTTAGTAGGACTTAACCTTAGCAAGAGTTAGCACTTACATACTTTGAAGATGAGAGTCTTTTGCAAATGTTGCTGTTAATTCTGCAGCAACCCTCCTTTTAGTGTGAAGATAGTTGACAAGCTGATAAGCTTGAAGTAATTTCTTAAAAATGCAGTACTGTGGAACTGTTCGTGGTATTTACTATTGTTCATTAGAAGCCTGGGGACTAGTCTTTGACCAGCAGTATGGTCATTTACTATACCATGACCTCACACATTTTCATGACCTCACATACTTGCATAGGTCTGAAATGGCAAAGTACAGCTGAACTTGGGTTTGATTTTATAGTATATCTTGAAATCTTCAGCAGCTTTTTTGACTAGCAAGCTCTAGGTATAGCCTACCTTAAAAAATGGAAACCAACTTTGAGGTTAAAAGAAGGAAAGAATTCTACGCCCCTCCACACATACCCACACACACTAAGGTTTCTACTTACTGAGCATTTCAGATTTAACCAAAATTAATGTTAAAATGATGCTTAATTTTGTAAAAAAGATGCTTTTAAATTTCACAAGCATTGGAATCTGAGGTATATGGGATGCCATTTCCAATATTTACCAGCTAGATTTGTTGTTGTTATTTAGTGTTATCAAAAACTTGTAAAGAAGTAAAGTCCACATCTAAAAAAGATACTTGCTAATTAAATCATTCCTTCTTAGGAGGCAGAATTAGTGAGGAGTCAACGGTTATGATGTCCCCTCTGCAGTGTCTTCCAGTTTAGGTGTCCAAATACTTTGGGCAAAGCTGTAGAATTATTTTGTGTTTCATTAATTTTGTTCTAAAAATTATTGAGTTAGCACCATATTATTGTAGTGAAAATTAATGAATAACTGTCTATTAAAGAGAAGGAAAATTAAAGTATTAAACATAATCTTAAGGGGCTGATGGCTGGTGGCGCAGAATAAAGGCAGTGCCCTGTGCTAACATCTGACCTAGGAGGAGGGATGGTTTCCGGTTTGCATCTGCAGACCTCCTTGACTAGGCCAGGCATTTGTGTGCCCATTATCTGTGGCTTGCTGAAGCTGGGGGGTAAGTCAGAGTCAGGACCTTGTTGGGGGTGTGTATCTCTCTTATATCTGTCACTCATGGAAGACATAAATCAATTAAAAAAATGTTATAGCGGTCCTTCCAAAACACTCCCCTAAAATGAGTTCTAGGTTTGAAGTGAAAATTCACTGAAATAATTATTTAAAAAACTCTATGAAAAACAACCAAGCATCTTTTTTTTTTCCTTGTAAGTAATAATTTGTAATGACAATAGTGTTCATTTTAAATAAAAATTAAAGATTGTGTGCAGGCCAAGAATAAATCATGTTTTTCTTGTGTAGAATAACTGAGATGCTAAAAATTGCATTTTGATGCTATCTTACATTGTTTTCTAGTTTGCAAAGTACATGTACTTCCACCTCCATTCAGCAGCACAAAGCACCAAAAGTAGGGGGAAGCAGGTAAATTCATTCTTGCAGATGAGGAAACTCAGGCCCAAAGAATGTGCGGTCTTTAGTTGTTCAAGATGGTTGTCATGGTGGGGGAAGCAAGAGAAGGATCCAAAGAAAGGCTGCGAAATATTATATATTGATTTTTAAAGAAGAATACAGTTCATCAGTTTCCTTATTCTTCAAATATATCTTATACAGTTCTCATTTTATATATATATCTATATATATATCTATATATATATATAATACATAATACACACACATATGCACATATACACACACACACACACACACACATACACCTTAAAAATAATGCTATAATGAATAACACTGGGTTTGAATTCTCCTTTTCTGCATCAAACACTAATGGAGCCTGATTTATGGTTACTGTGTGTTCCTGTGACCCCACAGACAAGATGTGGGTGAGTGTGCCCTGATGGCAGAAAGTCCTAGGGAATCTTCAGTGGTTCTTAGCCTTACCTTCATATCTGCAACATCTGGAAAGCTTTTACCATAAAATGGCAGCGTCTTAGATCTTAGAGTAGATCTCTTGATATTCCAGAAGTGGGGATCATTCTTTTAGACTAGCCCATCTCCACTCACTTTGACTAAAAATGAGCTCTTTTTCACCGAGATGTCACTTGTACTTCTGTTTCTATTAATGGTGCCATCATTTTCTCTGTCACCCTGGAAATAATTTCATATTCCTCCCTCTCATTTTCTATTTTTCTTTGTCTGCCCTACTGCACTCCCCCAATGTTAGTCAGTGATGAGTCACCAGGCAGAAAGTCCTAGAAATTCTTCCTCGTTAAGGTTTCCTTGTAGCCACCTCTGCATTCCACCTTTTCTGTTCCCTTCTTGTTTCAGCTCCAGCGGTCACAAACATGATCTGTGCCCCTCAGGGCCCCTCTCATCCCTCTGCCCAGCACTTGACTCTGGGACCTACAGAACATCTTATGTGTTTCTCCTAGGTTTGTCTTTCTGAAATGTCTTGTTTCTGGTATTCCGCTGCTAAAGTTTCCTCAACAATGCTTCCTTTGACATAGATGAAGTCCAAGCTGCTTAACCTGGATTAAGGCTGCCTTGCAGTCTATCCCAAACTGTGTGTATTTTTTTATACCTCATGTCCTATTTATTTCTCCCCTCACCACTGGGACCATCTTCACAACACTTTATACTAAATAATACCAGTTCATTTTCATAAACTTCAGTGTGGCTAATATTTACAGAAATGCCAGAAGTGAGGTGACTTATACACACTAGACGTTCAGTTGACTCATAGTTCTGGTGGCTGGAAAGTGAGGCCTGAGGTCACCATCAGGCTCACTGTGTCACAACACAGCTAACAAAGGCACAGAGGATGGCAGTCATGTGCAGGGAGAGACTGGGAACAGTTGTCTTCTTTTTATATCAACCTGTTTTCAAAAGAATTCACTCAGTTTCTTGCAAGATATCATTAATTCATTCATGAGGCCAGTGCCTCCATGATCCAATCAGGAGGGCTCCTACGTCTCACTTCTTAAAGGTCGCCTCACTTTCCAGTGTTACCATACTGAGGACCAAACTAAAGCATGACCCTCTGGAGAACAAGCGCTTATCCAAATGGTGGCATTTCCACCCCGGCCCCAAAGTTTATGTCCTTCTCACATAGAAAATATAATCATCCCACAGGGCCAGCAGGTGGAGTGGTAGTTAAGGTGCTATGGGACTCCCACATGGCTGGCTGTACTTCAAGCCAGACCTGGCAGCTTGATTTCTCACTTTCTCTCTCTCCGGTGAGTGCACGTGCCCTATAACAAATTAAACAATAAACAAGCAAATTAATAAATAATTCTTTAAAAAATATAACCCTCCCATTTCTATAATCCCAAAAGTCTTAGTTTATTCTAGCACCAACCCCAAAAGAGTCCAAAGTCTCTTTTGAGAGTTTGCGCTTATGCAGCCAAAACAAATGACATATCCCATCAGTCCCCAAAATACAATGACAGAGTAAGTGCAGGGTACAAATTTCTTTTCCAGTAGAAGAAAGGGGTAGCAGACCTTAAGCAAATCTGAAACCCCAGTGGGCAAAGTTAGATCTCGAAGCTTCAGAAGGCTC